ATACTCCACGCTTTGTTCTTCACTAGGTCTTGGTTGAATACTGGGGGCTGGGGATGGTGTTGTTGCATTCCGACTCGAGTGTCGGAACCAACAACAATCGTGACCAGAAAACACTGCTGTTGCAAAACATTGCTGGTGCTTCTGGTCCTTGAGAACCGGGGATGGGTCCAGCTGAGGTAAATTGCTCAGTTGGAGTAACTGGGGTTGGTGTGGTTGCATTCCGGTACGAATGTCGGAAACAACAACAACCACGGCGTGACCGGAATCTACTTCCAGTCCGTAAAGTACTGGAACTGCTTGGAGATGCTGCTGGGGAATCTTCTTTAAAGTGAGTATAATGTATGATGTAGCATATACTCGTCTTGGGTGAATACTGGGGCTGGGGTTGGTGTTGTTGCACTCCGGCACAGATGCCGGAAACAACAACAAACGTGACCGGAGAGCACTGAGCTTCCGGTCCTTGAGAACTGAACTGGTTCCAGCTGAGGCACCACTCAGCTGGAGAATCGATCAGGGTGAGTGGTGTTATTGTAGTCCGGCACAAGTGTCGGAACCAACAACAACCTGACCGGAAAGCTCTTCCGGTCCGTAAAATACAGGAACTGCATGGAGATGCTGAGGAATCTTCTGTGAAACTGAGTATGATGTAGCATATACTCCACGCGTTGTTCTTCACTAGGTCTTGGTTGACTACTGGGGCTGGGGTTGGTGTTGTTGCTCTCCAGCACGGATGCCGGAGACAACAACAATCGTGACCGGAGAGCACTGAGCTTCCGGTCCTTGAGAACTGAATGGGGAAACACTGGGGTTGGTGCTGTTGCTTTCCAGCACAGAGGTCGGAAACACCAGCAATCGTGACCGGAAAGCACTGGGGCTTCCGGTCCTTGAGAACTGGGGATGGATCCAGCTGAGGGACTCAGCTGGAGGAACTAGGGATGGGGGTGTTATTGCTTTCCGACACGGATGCCGGAAACAACAACAACGTGACCGGAATCTTCTTCCGGTCTGTAAAATACTGGAAAAGGACCTGCATGGAGATGCTGGGGAATCTGCTTGAAACTGAGTATGAGGTATGATGTAGCATAGACTCCAGGCTTGTTCGTTGCTAGGTCTTGGTTGAATACTACTGGGGGATGGGGTGGATGTTATTGCATTCCGGCACGAATGCCAGAAACAACAACAACAACGATGTCGTGACCGGAATCCTCTTCCGGTCCGTAAATACTGGAACTGCATGGAGATGCTGCTGGGGAGTCTTCTAAATTGATATATGATATAGCATATACTCCAGGTGTTGTTCTTCACTAGGTCTTGGTTGAATACTGGGGGCTGGGGTTGGTGTGATTGCAGTCCGGCACGGATGCCGGAAACAACCACGGCAACGTCGTGACCGGAATCTACTTCCGGTCCGTAAAATACTGGAACTGCATGGAGATGCTGGGAATCTTCTTGACTGAGTATGATGTAGCATATACTCCAGGCGTTGTTCTTCAAAGGAATAGTCTTGGTTGAATACTGGGGGCTGGGGTTGTTGTTGTTGCTCTCCGACTCGAATGCCGGAAATAACTTGTTTTCCGACACGAATGCCGGAAACGGAGGAACAGGGGATGAATCCAGCTGGGGCAAACCACCACCAGCTGGGGGATATCGATGTACTTAGAATAGGCTAGGTTACATTGCTTGGTTGCTTGAATGGAGCCAAGGAGGAGGATTTTCCCCTTCCGAAGGGGGTGTCACCATGGTTCGGAAGTCAGAAGGAGCCTGTCAGGTAGGAATGTACGTAGGAATCAGTAGGAATTCTAGGTGATAATTTTCATAAGCGAAGTGTAATTTCGTGCGTTTGAAAAATTTCGATTTGAAAATTATGGCAGGAAGGTGGAAAGTACTGGCAACATGTAGATGAAATGGCACTCAGCAACAAAGGCAAGCAAAGCAGCAGWGCTACTAATCAAGGGCATCAATCCAGGGATGGGATGGTGGAAGATTCAAATAGTTATGGATACCTCCTCCACACCTCCTCCCCCTGAAGCTCCTCCTGGTGGTGCTGGTGAGCCCCCTTGTCCACCAGAGATAATTGATGATCKTCCTCCCTCCTCACCACCAAGGGTCCAATTCATATTGAATCAAGACTGGGAGTGGATTGAAGACTGGGAATGGAACAAGAAGCCTACTCTATACAACAAGGAGCTAAATGAGACATGTGCTACTACTAGCTGTTTGAAGAAAACCTGCTTGTACAAAAAAGATTGTCTTCTTGCAAAGGCCATTGAATTGGCTCACAAAGCCGCTCTTGCCTCCTGGTCACCAAAGATGAACGTCAGGGACATACATAAGTGGTTCCTTGAAATCTACAGGAATGTAGTGAAGAGGTAGAACTCCTATACTACAACCTGCACAATGTGTGCAAGAGTCTTCTTTGCTTACGACACATGGGGACATCCTTACTACTACATGGATCGAAGCTGCCTTCTCCTTTGATTCCAACAACTACAAGGAGATGGATYGTGACAACCAGCAACCAAATCAACAAAGATCTTTGTTCCTGAATTTTGTAGGAACCACTGTCATCATATGCCTTCTCTAGTCATGCCTTTGCAAGATTAACTGTAGCATCATGGTACTATTTCCAAGATTTGTAACCAATATTGGTTCTGGAGATGTACACATCAATATGGTCCATTTTAYCATAGGTGTAAAGATAAAGCTCACAAGAAGGCTCATTCATTTCAATTTCCCAA